TTCAGCTGGGTTCCATAGATAAATGAATTAGATGAATAAGGACCATGGACTCCACTTCCAGATTTTTTTCTCTAATGTGTCTAAAACTTTCAAAGGAAAAACAAACAAAAACCTTGAAATTTAATGTTTATTGATATGAAAATGGAAACACTGGGTTTTTAGAGGATATTTTGTTTAAATTCACTGTTCAGTAGACCACAGAGTAGTGTTGGCTTCTCCCTGGAGCTTTCATATCCCATCCTGCCTGGCTCGCTTAGGAAGTCGCTTCCTCTAGAAAATTCTCCTTTAGGAGGTCTCTCTCACTGGGAAATGTTTCCTCGTTAGATCCCTTCCTTTTGCTCTTCCCCTCTCTCCTGTAGCTCTGAGTCTTATGTGTCTACGGAGCGTAAACGTTTTAAACAGCTGCTGATAGGAATTCATAGCTTTGAAAAGTCATTCTGAAATTTAAGGTGTCGAGGAGTGTGAGGTACTAAGGAAGTTTAGCCTTATTCTGTTAGCTACAGTGCTTGTTTCCATGCCTTTCCCCTGTTGGGATTGAGAAAAATCATCGAACAGGTATTTTGCTGCTTTTGCTAGCAGCTCCCTATGAAATTGTTTCCTTATTATATTATATAATATCATAGTATGAGTGTGGTGGTGGTCTGTGTGTGGTTGTTTGGGATTAAATGCATTTTCAGAATTTCTTGACCGTTCTAGGCACACGTGGTAGTGGTGGTGGACCAGTGTGTCACCAGCCGGTCCAGGTCACAGAGCCTAGAAACGTTTCCCCTTGGAGGTGGGGTGAGGGGTGCGGGGTGGAAGGGTTGTTGACAATGTGAGCTGCAGCAGTCATAGTAACGCTGGAGCACAGTGGCGTTTCTGTGCCCTGTGAAATGTGTGCTATCTTGGGAATGTTACTGCTTCTTGCCCGGGCGTTTTGTAGAGGTGTTAAGAAGCAGACAGCCTCCTCCTACCTTCCAGTTGAGGCACATGGTCAGATAAACAGCTCTGGGAGCCTGGCGACAGGTTCTAAACCAGCTCTCAGGTAAAGTTTGTGTTATGTCTCTCTGACATATATTTGTGACAAAGAATCGAAAAATACTCCAGAAGTATTTCCTTTTTGAAGTAGTTGACTTACGACGTAAAACTACCTATTAGCTTCTGCATTTTTTTATTTTTCCAATATAAGTAACTCTAAAGCTCAAAGATAAAGGAGTTACTGTTTTAAAGCATACTTTTTTCCCTCTGCTGTAGCTGTAGTTTTGAAAGGATTAGTATTGTCAAATTATTAATATGGACATTCAGATTTTGCTGTTTGAATAGCTTAGTTGCCCAATACGAACACCCGTTCCCATCAGATTTAAACTAAAGACATTGCAGAGTCTTGGACACGCCCTGTCTTCTACTTTCTCTTTCTTTGTGGCCTTCAGATCATTAAATTTCGTGACTCAGCTAATTTTTTTTACCCACCTCTTAGAAAACATGAACGTGTTTTGACCAAGCACTTAAGGTTATTTCCTTTAAACCAAGTGTTTGAGACGTTTTTAGATTTATAACTGGCTTTGTTTACCGTGTAATTCAGTCCAATTGAGGAACTAGTAAAACTGCATTATCCAGACATCAAAGACAGACGTAAGACGAGCGTACTTATACCGGGAAACCTATTAGGTTTCTAACAAGTGGAGAGTTATCAGGGATCCAAAAATTAACCACTCCCATGCCAGCTAACTTTTTTTTTGGTAGCTTTTCTTGTTTAGTCAGTTAGCAGCATTCTGGATTTAAAATACCAGTTTGCTACATTCTTGAGAGTTGCTTCCTTTTCTTTAGCATCCTTCAGATTACTGACTTTGAAAGGGCTAAATAGAATACCATGCCGTTAAAATCGTGACTGAACAAGGTGTTGAATGGACAACACATTTTAGTTCGGTTCCAAATTAAGCCGATGTCTTTCCTTCTTGAGGTTTAAGGCAAGTTGGGGCTTCATTTCCTTGAGATTTCTTTGGGAGAGATTATTCAGCCCACTTTACAGAAAAAAAGTGGGGTGATTTATCAGCCGCATGCAGCAGTCATTTGAAGTAGGACCCGTGTCACCAAGTTGCGTTTCGAGATTGGTACAAGTGGGTGGCCTTGAGTCCTACCAGAGCCTGGGGTGAGGACGTGCTGGAGGAGGGCTCTGTGAGCAGAGCAGCACCTCGCACTCCGGCACCTCCCCAGCGCTGCCTGCTAAGGCCCCGTTAAACCTGGCCCTGTGCCTGGCCCAGTCGGACCCGTGCGCGTGCGCGGGGGAAGCGCTTCAGTCTCGTGCAGACTTGTCCCTTTCAGGTATTGCAGAGGCCGTGCGTCAGCACACTTCACTTATTCGTAAGCATCTTCTAACTTTACTCGGAGCGGGGGTGGGGAAGAGTGGTTTCGTCTCTTCCCACGGACGCCCGCCCGCGCCTGCTGAGCCTGGGACTGGGCTTCTGGGGGAGCACGCCGCTGCTCATAGTCACGGAGGTGTCTCTTCAAAATAGCCACCCAATTTTTAGATACCACATCTGGCCATGTTTTGTTTCCATAGAGGGTTTGGCTTTCTTCTGGGTTATCGAAGGAAGTACGGGTGTTTGGGAAAGGTCCATGAGGGCATCACCATAGGGGACAGCTGTGCTTGCCCATTCGCCTGCCCCCTTACATCAGAGTAGCGTGTGGGGGTCTGGCGTCCTGTGGCGTTTCCTATGAGACAGGCCACAAAAACATACCAAGATTGCAGAAACGCTGGGTCCCTACCAGGGAGTCGGGAGAAAACGGCTCTGTTTGTGTCAAGTCCTCGTCTTCGGGAGTGTTTCAGGAGAGCCTTCCTTCGGTACGGTCACATTTGCACACAGAGGAGATGGCAGCGCGGTGCAGACAGTGAGTAGCAGCCGGAGACCGATTCCATAGAGGCCACCAGAGATGACGCGTTTTACTTATTTCAGCCGGAAAGTTGCTGCAGACTTTGTAAAGCATCATAACATTTCATCACCGTTCAGGCTGGGTCCTGCAAGCTGCTACTTTGAGCCACCATTTGCGGTTCCCCATAACCTTTGGGAGAGGATCCAAACTCTTTGGAAGTGGCTTAATCCGGCCCCTGCTTCCTCACCAGCACGTCTCGTCCATTCCCGCCCCCCACCACCACCACCACTCATACTTTACTTCAGCTGGCTTCCCCATGGGGTGTGCTTTTTTCTGGGGACAGAGGACTCTACACACTTGAATTCCTCCCCTTCGAGTCTCGCCTGAGCTGGACCTCCCTTCAGCAAGGCTGGGTTTGGGGACTCTTTAATGTGCTCTGATGCCATTCACTTCTTCGCTTTTTCAGTACATGTAAGCTCTGTGGGGACAAGGCCCACTCTTGATCACTCTGCGTCCTTAGCCCTGTGTCGTAGGCTAATGATGCAGAAATGAACAAGAGTGGGCCTTGTCCCCACAGAGCTTATATTCCTGTCGGAAACACCCTTGTGTTTACACCCTTTAAAAAAAACTTTTTACTTGGAAATAATTACAAATTTATAGAAAGTTGCAAAAATTAAAACAGCACAGAGTAACATCCGATACACTTTGCCCAGATTCACCTATTGTTAATGTTTTACCTCATTTGCATATTATCTATAGCACATTTTTCCTCTGGACCAGTCACATACATGATGGCCTTTCCCCCCCAAATACTTCAGAGTGTGTTTCCTTAGAGTAGGGTTGTTCTCTCCTATGAGAGTCATCAACTTCATAAATTTACATTGATAAACTGCTTTTATGTAACATTCTGTTCACAGTCCGGTGTTGTTAATTCATCCTATGGTGTGCTGTACCCTCTCCCCCGTCCCCTTCGGCGCAGAATTCAGTCTGCGGTCAAGTAATCGCATTTAGTGATGATGTCTCTTTAGCCTCCCTCACAGCCATTCTTTGTCAGTTATGACAGGGGTCCCCAAACCTCGGGCTGCCAACCAGTACCGGTCTGCGGCCTGTTAGGAACCGGGCAGCACAGCAGGAGGGGAGCGGCGGGCTTGTACCTGTATCTGCAGCCGCTCCCCAGCGCCAGCATCACCGCCTCAGCTCCGCCTCAGACCTCAGATCATCAGGCGTTAGATTCTCATAGGAGCACTGGTCCCTGGTGCCACAAAGGTTGGGGACCACTGAGTTATGACATTGATATTTTTTGAAAAGTATTGCATGCCCCCTGTTTTAAATAGTATCTTGCTCATTTTGTGTTTGATGTTTCCTTGTGATGAGGATGAGGTAAAGTATCGTAGGCCATCATACTGCATAGTGATTGTCCTCCGGGGGGATCGCGTCTGGGGGCCCATGATGTCCTTTAAGCCCTCTTTGGTGGGGATTTTCATTGCCCAAAGCGTTGCCCAGTTTCTCCACTGTGTAATTAATGTTTTTTAAAGTCTTCTCTTTGTAACTAATAATAAGTAGTCTGTTGGAGGATACCTCAGTTCTGTGCAGATACCCTGCTCCTTATCAAAATTTCTCTCCTTGGTTTGGTGTCAAGTGATGATTCTTGTCTGATCCAGTCGTATAAAGTCAGGTTTCTATTTTTCGCAGTGGGTTATAATTCATCACTATACTTAATGATTTTGGTGCTCAGATTATTCCGGATTTGACCCGTGGGAGCCCCTCAGAACCGGCTTCCGTATCGTTGTGAGGCGCCCTTTTTCCATCCCTTCCTTTCTTGCACAGCAAGATGGTACAGGCTTATCTTGCACCAACTCCGCCCTAGCCCTGGGATCAGCCATTTTTCCAAGGAGCCGTCAAACCCTTGTGTGAGCACTTAGCACACTGCTTACTGTATATCTTTCTCCACGAGGTGATATTGTGACTCTCTGAGGGCACACAGATGTCAGTCTTATTCACTCTCACGTTTTCACCCAGCGGTAGGTCTGGCACATTTGCTCTTTAAGTATTTGTTGAATAAGAAAATCGATTTTTGCTATAGTTCAGTGATTAAAATTGGTTTCCAAAATGATGATGCTGATGGGTTTTCTTTCCCCTCCCCCATCTAGGAAGATGTTGGCTATTTGGCGATAGAAGTGGTGAAAACTGACCTCACACCGGTAGACGAGCACTACGGGACCTGATCCTCTTGCTGCACGGGCAGCCGGCCCCCACTGAGCATGTTGGGAAGCCATGGAGTCCACTGGAAAACACTAGTCTGATCTTGGAAGTGGCTGATTGTGGCAGGATGTGTCGACGATGATGATGGCCAGAAAGCAAGATGTCCGTGTTCCCACCTACAACATCAGCGTGGTGGGGCTGTCTGGGACCGAGAAGGAGAAGGGCCAGTGCGGCATCGGGAAGTCCTGTCTGTGCAACCGCTTCGTGCGCCCGAGCGCCGACGAGTTCCACTTGGACCACACCTCTGTCCTCAGCACCAGTGACTTTGGCGGGCGGGTGGTCAATAATGACCACTTCCTCTACTGGGGAGAAGTCAGCCGATCCCTGGAGGATTGCGTGGAATGTAAGATGCACATCGTGGAGCAGACTGAGTTCATTGACGATCAGACCTTTCAGCCGCATCGAAGCACGGCCCTGCAGCCCTACATCAAGAGAGCTGCCGCGACCAAGCTCGCGTCGGCTGAGAAACTCATGTACTTTTGCACTGACCAGCTGGGGCTGGAGCAGGACTTTGAGCAGAAACAAATGCCAGATGGAAAGCTGCTGATCGATGGTTTTCTTCTCGGCATTGACGTTAGCAGGGGCATGAATAGGAACTTTGATGACCAGCTCAAGTTTGTCTCAAATCTCTACAATCAGCTTGCAAAAACAAAAAAGCCCATCGTGGTGGTCCTGACTAAGTGTGATGAGGGCGTCGAGCGGTACATTAGAGATGCACATACTTTTGCCTTAAGCAAAAAGAACCTCCAGGTTGTGGAGACCTCAGCAAGATCCAACGTCAACGTGGACTTGGCTTTCAGCACCTTAGTGCAACTCATTGATAAAAGTCGGGGAAAGACGAAAATCATCCCTTACTTTGAAGCTCTCAAGCAGCAGAGTCAGCAGATAGCTACGGCAAAAGACAAGTACGAGTGGCTGGTGAGTCGCATTGTGAAAAACCACAACGAGAACTGGCTGAGTGTCAGCCGAAAGATGCAGGCCTCCCCTGAGTACCAGGACTACGTCTACCTGGAAGGGACCCAGAAAGCCAAGAAGCTGTTTCTCCAGCACATCCACCGCCTCAAACACGAGCACATCGAGCGCAGGAGGAAGCTGTACCTGGCAGCTCTGCCGTTGGCTTTCGAAGCTCTTATACCCAATCTGGATGAAATAGACCACCTGAGCTGCGGAAAAGCCAAAAAGCTCTTGGAGACCAAGCCGGAGTTCCTGAAGTGGTTCGTCGTGCTCGAGGAGACCCCGTGGGATGCCACCAGCCACATCGACAACATGGACAACGAGCGGATTCCCTTCGACTTGATGGACACTGTCCCCGCAGAGCAGCTGTATGAGGCCCACTTAGAGAAGCTGCGGAACGAGAGGAAAAGAGCTGAGATGAGGAGGGCGTTTAAAGAAAACCTGGAGACCTCGCCTTTCATAACTCCTGGCAAGCCCTGGGAAGAGGCCCGCAGTTTCATCATGAATGAAGATTTCTACCAGTGGCTGGAAGAATCTGTATACATGGATATCTATGGCAAACACCAAAAGCAAATTATAGACAGGGCAAAGGAGGAGTTTCAGGAGCTGCTTTTGGAATATTCAGAATTGTTCTATGAGCTGGAGCTGGACGCTAAGCCCAGCAAGGAGAAGATGGGTGTTATTCAGGATGTCCTGGGGGAAGAACAGCGGTTTAAAGCGCTGCAGAAGCTCCAGGCGGAGCGCGATGCCCTCATCCTGAAGCACATCCACTTCGTGTACCACCCAACAAAGGAGACGTGCCCCAGCTGCCCAGCCTGCGTGGACGCTAAGATCGAGCACTTGGTTAGTTCCCGGTTTATCCGACCATCTGACCGGAATCAGAAAAATTCACTCTCTGACCCCAACATCGATAGAATCAACTTGGTTATCCTGGGCAAAGATGGCCTTGCCCGAGAGTTGGCCAATGAGATTCGAGCTCTTTGTACAAACGATGACAAGTACGTGATAGATGGTAAAATGTATGAGCTTTCCCTGAGGCCGATAGAAGGGAACGTCAGGCTTCCCGTGAACTCTTTCCAGACGCCCACGTTTCAGCCCCACGGATGTCTCTGCCTCTACAATTCGAAGGAGTCGCTGTCCTACGTGGTGGAGAGCATCGAGAAGAGTAGAGAGTCCACACTCGGCAGGCGAGATAATCACTTAGTCCATCTCCCCCTGACGCTAATTCTGGTGAACAAGAGAGGAGACACCAGCGGAGAGACGCTGCATAGCTTAATCCAGCAAGGCCAGCAGATCGCCAGCAAACTCCAGTGTGTCTTCCTGGACCCTGCCTCTGCCGGCATCGGTTATGGACGCAACATTAACGAAAAGCAGATCAGTCAAGTGTTGAAAGGACTCCTGGACTCTAAGCGTAACTTAAACCTGGTCAGTTCTACCGCTAGCATCAAAGATCTGGCTGACGTTGACCTGCGAATTGTCATGTGTCTGATGTGCGGAGACCCTTTTAGTGCAGACGACATCCTCTTTCCCGTCCTTCAGTCCCAAACCTGTAAATCTTCCCATTGCGGAAGCAACAACTCTGTTTTACTTGAACTACCAATCGGGCTACACAAGAAGCGCATTGAACTGTCTATTCTTTCATACCATTCCTCGTTTAGCATCAGAAAAAGCCGGTTGGTCCATGGGTACATTGTTTTTTATTCAGCCAAACGTAAGGCCTCCTTGGCTATGTTACGTGCCTTTCTTTGTGAAGTGCAGGATATTGTCCCCATTCAGCTGGTCGCACTCACTGACGGCGCTGTAGATGTCCTGGACAATGACTTAAGTCGGGAGCAGCTGACCGAGGGGGAGGAGATCGCTCAAGAGATAGATGGCAGGTTCACAAGCATCCCCTGCAGCCAAGCCCAGCACAAACTCGAGATCTTCCACCCATTTTTTAAGGATGTGGTGGAGAAAAAGAACATAATCGAGGCGACGCACATGTACGATAACGCTGCCGAGGCCTGCAGCACCACGGAGGAGGTGTTCAACTCCCCCCGGGCGGGCTCTCCGCTCTGCAACTCCAACCTGCAGGATTCGGAAGAGGACATCGAGCCCCCTTCCTACAGCCTGTTTCGAGAAGACACGTCGCTGCCCTCTCTGTCCAAAGACCATTCCAAGCTGTGTATGGAGCTGGAGGGGAACGATGGGCTGTCTTTCATCATGAGCAATTTTGAGAGTAAACTCAACAACAAAGTACCTCCGCCAGTCAAACCAAAGCCTCCTCTCCATTTTGATATTACAAAGGGGGATCTGTCTTACTTAGATCAAGGCCACAGAGATGGGCAGAGGAAGTCTGTGTCTTCTAGTACCTGGCTACCTCCGGACGCGTTCGATCCTTCCGATTACGCCGAACCCATGGATGCAGTGGCCAAGCCGAGAAATGAGGAAGAAAACATATACTCGGTGCCCCACGACAGCACCCAAGGCAAGATCATCACCATCCGGAACATCAACAAAGCCCAGTCCAACGGCAGTGGGAACGGTTCCGACAGTGAGATGGACACCAGCTCCCTAGAGCGAGGCCGCAAGGTATCCATCGTGAGCAAGCCAGTGCTGTACAGGACGAGATGCAGCCGGCTGGGGAGGTTCGCTAGCTACCGAACCAGCTTCAGCGTGGGGAGCGATGATGAGCTGGGGCCCATCCGGAAGAAAGAGGAGGATCAGGCGTCCCAAGGTTATAAAGGGGACAATGCCGTCATCCCGTATGAGACAGACGAAGACCCGAGGAGGAGGAACATCCTGCGCAGTCTGCGAAGGAACACCAAGGTGAGACGTGGGGTAGGAGCCAGTCGCAGGCGTGGCCTGCACAGTGTCTTGCTGGGTTGATAGATGATGACGATTTTCAAGGACAGCGTATCGTGGTAAAAAACTGCTTTATGTGTGTGTGTGTTTGGTCTTTGACTTAGCATGAAAAAGTAAGCAGTGTCTCTGATAGCTACTGCGGGCGGCTCTGAAGTAGTCAGGACCCTGGACAGACAGCCCGAGTCATCTTTGTCCAAAGCGACAGTTAATTACCAGGATGAGCAGAGCGCATTGAACTTGTCAGTGTCCTGACAAGTAGCCAAGCCAATGACGAAGCGCTTGCTCTTCCTTCACTCAAACACCAGAACCCAGCGTTGCATGCCTCGGTCCCTTACTGCTAAACAAGAGGTGTCTCATGCGCTCCGCGTCCCCTTGCTGATCCATAAAGGTTACTGCATTTCGGATTAGGAAAAATGGGATGGTTATTGTATTTACACACACAAATCAGTGAAGGGTCTTTGGGCACACAAATGAAAAATAAGGACCTTGCCACTGCAAGTTATAAACCTGTCCCAAATTTGTAGTCTTGGAGTGCCACCCACCTCCATTATTTTGAGTTGTTCCTGCTGTCGGTGAGCTTCAGCTTTGATTGAGGGACCACAGGTGGGGCGAGGAGGGATAAAAAGGAAGATAAACTGTGGACATTCTGAATGTGGCGCCTGCCGTCAGGTGTGGGGGGGTCCTCAGTGCAGCAATAGGCGAAGCCTCTGTCAAGTGAAGAATCGCACTGCAGGGCACAGCGCCCTGGCCCCTTGGTCTTAGGCTTTGAGATAGAAAAGGATTTCCCAGCTCTTCTCTCCCCCCATTTAGAGTAGAGGGAGAGACTCTTTTACCGAGAAAGACGTGGTGAGGCACAGCAGGCCTGGGTCACCTGCCTGCCCTCGACCAGCACCATATGCAGAGTGTTTTCTCTACACTGAGAGCTTTTGCTCCTCTGCTTACCACAAAACCGCAGAGAGCAAAGTCGCTTGTCTGAAAGTATTTGGGAAACTTTGGAAAGAAAGGTTGCCAGAAATGTATGTTACAAGATGCGCCAGGTCCGAGGGCCCTGGAGTCCAGGCTGTCTTGAGAGCTGCCGATTGCGGTGTGGAATTCCTCCCGGAGGCCAGTCCCACGGCTCTCGCTGGCTGAGAGGGCCCTTGGAGGTGGCAGGTCATGGCGCCAGCATAGAGTGCTCCTCAGTCACCACTGGCCACAGCTTCCAGAATTTTCCTACCTATGCGGTGTGAGAAAGGGCTGGGCAGTATCACGGTGCGTTCTTTCCCCTCCCCCTCGGAGCTGACTTAATGAATATTGTAGGCATTCCTCTGCTGTCTGTCTCCTCGATTCGTTTCTCCACTTGGATTCCTTTACCTGCCTTCAGTATTTTGTTCTCTAAAGGCAGCGGGGAGCCCCACCCAAAGCGTGAAGCCGGAAGGTGGTCTGACCTGGCTCCCCGTGTTTCCCCACCACTCTCCTGTGGAATGAAGCTGGGATCCAAACATTTTGAACATTTCAACTTCTCCTCCTCCTCTTCTCCCAACGAAGACCGGCGCCAGAACAGCTCATCTAAGTGCTGACAGTCTTCTAATTTGTGGGGGTGTGTGCACACCTGGGAATCAGGAAGGTGGCATGAGAGCACACTGAAATGTAACTGCTTTTCTGACTTCTCCATTTTAATATCTGTTGGAAACGACGCTCTTAAAGCATATTCCCAAACAAGCCATGCTTCTGAGCTCACACTGTGCGGGCTCGACAAACAGCTGGTTCTGGTGGGCCTGTGGGTTGGCCCCGGGCACGCTGGCGAAGAGCACTTCTCACCGCGCCGCAGCCGGGGCGTCCTTGTCGGGGCGTCCTTGCCGGGTCGCTGTGTCAGCATGCAAGCAGCGGTCGACTTCCTGTCTTAGTTCTGTGGGCCACACCCCTTCAGAGCAAACAGAAATGATGCCTCTGGCCCAAGAGCAGTTGCGTGCCAGCGGTCAGTTTAGGAGTATCCTTTGGAAAGAGGGAGTAAAAGGGGAAATTGTCTTTTCCTGCCTTAGAAAATGGTACTTTGGAATGAGTAAAGCTGCTTCGTCATCTTAACGCAGAGATAAGCAACGCCTTGATTCTCTTCCCGGTTGGAGCAAACCTATTAAAGTGGCTGCCATTAACGCAGACTGACACTTGTTTTACTGGAAAAGCAAGATAAATGGGCCAGAGAATGCCCAGCCAGCCTCTGCATGGGGGATTTGGCATTCCATTTTTATTGGCATGACAAAGCAATAAGTATTTATTTGAAGTGAGGTGGGTGCCAGTTGGTAATGGAAAACACACTTACTTAGTGCCTCCTGCCTGCCAGAGCCCACTGGGGAAGTGGCACAGATCCTTCCTTCTTACCCAGATCTAAGTGCCCAGTTGAGGTGGCAGGATCTGCACAGCTTCTGAAAATAGGTGGTCTGCCCGGAGGGCTGTGTTGGGCGGAGCAGAAATCCCACGTTGGAGGTGGTTGAGGTAGAGAGAGAGAGTGTGAGTGTGTGTGTGTGTGTGTGTGTGTGTGTGTGTGTGTGTGTGTAGTGATTAGGAGCTTGGGTGGAGGGACTGGGTGCTAAAGTCACATCCCAACTCCTCCGTTTCCTCACCGGGACTTTGGCCGTGTGATTCACCTCCCTTCTTTCAAAGGGGAGAATGTAGTAGCACCTTCTTCATAGGGCTGTGGGAGACGGAGTGAGGTTATGCAGAGAAAGCATGGAGCACGTTGCATGCTGAATAAGCAGTCGTTGTCATTATTTAAGTAGACCTGGAGAGTGAGGCGAGGAAAGGCTGGAAGCTGTGTTGGAGGGAAGGAGAAAGCTGGCCTGTTCCAGGGCCGACACCGCCCCTCCCTCCTGTGTAAGTGTGGCCCCTGTGTGTGACTTCGCCGCCTGCCCAGCACTGACCCAGCATCGGCTCCGACAGCAGGAAAGGCTGTGCTCTGGGCCCCCTTGCAGGAGGAGGCGTTGCTCGGCGCTCTTGCTCATTTGCTAGATTACCTCCTTACTGTGACATTGGACTTGGAGTGGGGGGACTCGCTTTCATTTCTGCTAATGAAAGTGTAGACTGTGGAGCCGACTCTCATTCTGGGTCTGCTTCCCGGTGAAGTATCTAGCAGCCCGCCCTCCGCATGGGGGCCTTCCGCCGGGCGCTGGGTGGAGTGGAAGACCCACGCCGGCCCTTCGGTGGGGCCGCGAGTAGGTGCTTTGTCTGCGCGGCGCTGTCGCTGTGACGGTCTCTGTCTCTTGGGGCCCACGTGCACGGAGCGCCAGTCAGGCCAGCAGGGTCTTCTTCTAAAGCCAAATGCCGGGCCGGGCCGGGCCAGGATGCCTTGCCCCAGAGTGCGCCTGTTGGGCAGGCTTGGATTGCTGGATTTAGTGTGTTTGACCATGGATTAAAGAGAAGCCATAATTGGCTATTTACCCCTCTATCTGATGTACTCTTTATTTTTGTGTTAAAAAAAAAAAGACAAAGCAGAATGATAAAGAAAATCTTTCACTGTAGCTACCACATGACAAGACAACCTATTGAAAAGCAAACCAATTCAATCACGCATTGTTTGGTCTATAAGGCACCAAGTAAGCAGTTTGACAGTTTGTGCTCCCGCACCCCCCCGTGAATTGGCTTATTTCATTGGATTCGGTGAATTGGCTGGTTGTTGTGGCTTTGTGCGGACACAGCTCTCATTTTGTGAAGCCTAAACGGAGTTAAAGTTTCTTCTGTGAATAAAAACCAGCTGGGGGATCGGGCTGCTCCCTCCCCATGGAGGGCCGTTGCATTTTGACAGACGCTGAATGGTATGAAATACGAGCTCTTTGTAACCTGCCCAGGAAAAGAGTCTCAGTGTGTGCGTCCTACGCAGTGAGCTGTGAGGCCTCATAGATATCCTGGTCTTAGAAACGAGATGGGGGTGCTGACTTTACCTTGAGGCTTCCGATTCTTAACAGAATTGTATAGAATGCTCCTCAGTCACCAAGAGCAAGGAATACTCTTGCTCCGAGGCACATGCTCATTCATTCTTTTAGGAAGGAGCCCGTTCAGTGCACGGGCGCTTGGTGAACCCTGCTGTTCCTCCAGTTCAGGCACCAGGCGGCTCGGTGGTCAGCCCATGCGTCCCGCATCCCAAGTGTTAGCAGAGAGGGGTGCAGAGTTCCACCAGGGGGTTCGGTAGCGAGGAGTTCTACCCTCAGCTGGGACTTCCGGGAACACTCCCCAGCGAAGCACTACGCACAGCGCAGACTTGAAGGCGAGTCAGCAGGCGAGTCCAGGGAGTCGGAGGCTTCCTGGGGAGAGCCTCGGAGAAAACAGTTTGGAACTCGAAGCTGATGAAACGAGTCATGTTGTAAGAGTCGAAAGAAACGGCGAGTTGGCTGCTGCAGAGAGGGAGGGAGAACCAGGCCGGATGGCAGGGCTGTGGGTACCTCTGAGGGGTATGGCATTGTGCTACCTTTACTGAATACCTGCTGTGCACCAGGTACGGTGACAGTCATTTTCACATTAGTTTTTTATGTATTTATCTTACCAGCCTTAATGAAGTGATTTTTTAATAAAAATTCCCGTTTGAGAGATGAGGAAACAGGCTCAGAGAGATTGCCCTGCCCAAGTCACGGCAGTTACTGAGTGCGGGAGCAGAGCTTTTTGAACCCTGGTCCTCTGACGTCCACTTCCGATGGGTGTGAGAACCCAGCGTACAAGCAAGATGGTGTCCATCAGCCAGGCACGCATCCGGAGCGCTGTCAGCCCAGTCAGGTTGCTCGTTTCAGACACAGGACTTTGACGATCATCTGGGAAAGCCCTTTCCCCACTGCCCCCTAAGAACAGCATGGCGAGTCGAGTCGCTTACGGGACGACAAAGGCATGCAGACGCCGAAAGAACAACTGGATCTTTAAGAAATTGTTTTGAACTGGTGTCATTCGGTTCTCAGTTTATTTTAAGCCCAAAGAACTGCTGTAGTGTGTTTTTGGTGACAAAA